CAACTGTTGCGTAGCTTGCTTTTCCTTTCTACCTGATTTGGTGCAATACGTGATGCGGATATGGCATGTGTCCATGACCTCTCGCACAAGGTCCACGCGGCCTCCGGAACTACTTAGCTTGGTTAGTCCGTCCGCGATCATATGTTCAGCATTTACCCAGTACGTTGAGAAACCATGGTCTACAACCAAGTCATACAGTATCTGATACACCAAGCTTTGCATCTTCTGCCCCTGTCTGGTTGAAGGTTTCTCTGTCCTAATGCTGTCATATAATCCCTTGTTATCCGTCACGATTATACGATGTTGCCCCTTTTGAAGTAGTTTCTGTTTTACCTCACGGGCTCTCAGGCCATACATGACTTGCTCGTACAATAGTAGCAAGGATACGGATGAGTCCGCAGCTATCGTGGCACCCTGGAGTTCGCTAGCGTACGAGGACCAAACTGCACGATCTATCTTAGAGCTGGTGAAATCGGCCAACACAGACTTTACCATGTCACCCTTCAGAACCGACTTAGGCGCCCAAAACATCAGAGCCCCCGCTTGACTATGACCCGACGGCCTACTCGTATGACCCGCATCCGTGAACACGACCAATGCTAAATCAGTCCAATTCTGCGCTACTTTCTGGAAGGTCAAAGAGTAGGGTTGTGCCTTGAGGGTGCGGACAATCTTATTCAGAGCTACGATGTGTTGCTTTTCAGGACGTGTACCGTATGAGGCATAGTGACTGACGTCATAGGCTACATCCGGTCTGGTGTTAACGGCAACCCACAGCAAAGCGCCTAGTTGTGACCAGAACTGGGTTTGACCTGCCTTATCTAGAAGGCCATCCTTCAGGGGCTTCACCGGCGTTTCACGCAACTTCTCTACGTAGTGCGCCTGGTCTACAGTAATGGTCCGACTTAGGGGGTGCTGGCGTAGATTTAGCCCAGTGTAAAGAACAGGAGCGACATCTGCATACTTGCGCTCACCGAAAGGGAGTCTAGCAACTAGCTTCTGCAGCGCTGCTTCAAACTGTGGATCTACACTGGCAGAACAACCAGCAATTAACAGATCATCTACGTGAGCCCCAACTAGGCCCAAAACTCTACTTCGATCTTTCTTATCTCTAAGGACATAAACACATCTATCAGCTGGAACCTGCTCGAACCCACACGTTTCTAGTTCAGCGGTAAGACGACGATACCACGCCAGCGGTGCTTCACTTAATCCATAAGGTACTTTCTTTATTCTGGCGATAGTATCCTCGTCGTACCCCTGATCTGAAACCAAGTCTCGTGGCAGCTCAGCATAGATTGGCTTAACCCTTGAAGACCTGTCCCCTGCCAAGAAAGCTGTCTTAGCATCCAAAGTAAACAGTCGATACTGATGATGAGCGGCCAGAGTGAGAATCGCATGCCGACCCTGCCTGGATAATGTAGGTGAAGCTGTAGAGTACTGACCCAAATCTGGATCCTTAAAACCCCTAATTACTAACCTAGCTTTCGGACGCTTCTCACCATTCGGTTGATCCCCTACATTCTTCCAGGTCAGGATCCAGCGACTGCTTATGACGCGCTTCGGGTCAATCCCTCGCCTGCTCAAAAGTTCAACGACGTCATTGGAAATCCACTGTGACCACTCGGCCCGCTTAGCTTGCCTAAACATCTCTTTTTCAGTGGACGTCAAATGACGCTCGCTGACCTCAGCCTTGCGTTTCTGAGCTGCTGCCGCATTGAAACACATCTCCCTCACTATGTGTACGATTGACTCATCACTCTCCAGTTCGCTAAGCTCAACGTCAAATTCCAAGCCTACCGACATTCCAACATAATCATGCTCACAAGACTCATTATACCACGCGTCAGCAACATGATCCGCCGCGCCCCCTTCAAAGTCTGCGAATGCCCAGAGACTTGTTTCCCGCGGTGGAGGATTTCGAATTGGAGTGCGGCTACGGTGTCTTACCTCCGAGCTGCTCGCCTCGGTACTCCGAAGAACAGCAGGAGACACTGCCGCAGGCGGCGGCGCCTCCATCAGAGGACGAGCGCCAGGGCCCAGCTCTGCGCGGTGCTGGTCTTCCAGCTCCAAATCGGAGTGCTCCCCATGAGGGCGTTTATCCCCCCGCTTGAGAGGGCCGGAGGAAAGTTCATCGCCGCCAGCTGGTGTTGGCAACTGCAGCGGTGGAACTAGCGGCGCGGACGGTGCGAGCGGCGGGCGCGCAGGTGTACCGGGGGTGGGTGTCGGCGGGCCAGGAGTGCCAGGGGCCGGCGTGGGAGGCGCCTGGGGCACCGGCTCATACTCAGCTTCTTCCTTCAGCTCCTCAACCTGCACTGGTGCGACCGGTTCATCGTGAGCCGCCTCCCAGTCTGCAGACGTGGGGCGTTCCGCCCGTATGTCTGTGCCCCGGGCTAGGCGCATGTCCTGAAAGGAAGACTGCAGGGATTGCCCCTTCTGCAGCTGCGCGCGGACCCATTCAGCCTTCACGCTTACTGGACGCAACTGCTCAGGGCTACACAGAAACAAACGTCCATGAACCGTTACGTAAATTACACGGGGGACCAACTTGTCCGAGGTACTCTCAACCGCTACGACCTCTCCGGGACCCAGCCAAACACCTTTCTGCCCTGGACTTGCTGCATCACCTTTGCGCCGGCGGTATACCAACACGACCTGACCCTTGTAGTACGGACCTTTGTAGGGCCTGGGCCTGGTACTGGAAACTCGCGCCGTGCGGTCTCTGACCTCACTTTGAACCCAGGCCGTCCGGGCCGCCACACGTCTGAGCATGAGAGTTTCGTACAAGGGATCTTCACGATGCAATCTCTCTGCAAGCAACTGATAATCCTCATCCGCTTCAGCGAAACTGGGCGGCGCTTTAGGAAGCTTACCGAACACCAAAACTGCCGGGGACACTCCCTCAACTCTCATCAGCTCATTGCGGGCTTGAATGACTGCTGTGGCCGCTTCGAAAGGTGTGCAAGAACGATCCTCCAAGAACACCTTCTGGACTTGCAATCTCAGCGTGCGGTGCAGTCGTTCTATCTGGCCGTGTTGGTACGGTGCTTGAGCAGCGCTAAGACGTTGAAGCATTGAATGTCGGGCTAAGAACTGGCCAAATTGATCACTTCTGAAAATGGTGTCTGGATCACAAAAGATACATTCTGGAGCCCCGTACGGTAGAACCCAGCCCTGCTCAAGCTGCCGAATCGCAGTGGCGCTATCTCCCGCCTCTAGTGCAAAAACTCTCGCATACGATGTTGCAGTATCTACTGCTGTCAACAAGAACACGCGATGCTGCACTGAGTCACGCTCGACTGTCAGATCTAGCGTATCGATGCTCACTACAGAGTTAAAACTGCGCGGACGGGCTGAACCTACCACTGCATGTGCATCTGGCGCTCGTTGGGCTTCACAAAGAGAGCATGTGAACTGTGAAGCTTGGCGCAACAGCCATGTTGCTGCTCCAGCATCCTTTAAATGTTGCAGGAACTCGGCTCGTCCACAGTGGCCAAGGCCAACGTGCAGTCTTTGGAGATACTCCCTCACTTTGCGTTGATCACTGACACTTTGCAAACCCGGCACAGGTTTAATAACAGGCTGTGTCTCTGCAGCTACAGGCTCATTTGGTGAGGGCTTATCTCCAAAGAATGTCACTAGCAGTTGGCAATTCACAGGCAATCGGAGTCTTTTGGTTCCTTGCATTTCATGACAATGATCTACATAGTACCATTCCCCCGCTACCCGAGCAACTGTCGTTCGCCTGGTCGCTACAACGCCAGTCGGAAGGTTAGCATAGCACTTCAATGATTTTCCAGTTGTTACTGTGTCTACCTCGAGTCCACTCCAGACCCTCAGCTGTGCCTGCACCGGGACTGGCAAGTCAGCTCGACGGTATCTACCAGGGAACTGAAGTGCATTCAACTGCTTAGTCATCTCGGTGTCTGTCACTTTGAATACCGTAGGTTCACCAGGGCTTACTGGGAAAGCTGCGTCGCGAATTCCTCCGGCAAAGAAACCTACTGGAACTACCTTCGGATGCCCAATCCTTTCTTGAAATCGTGGCACGCTAGTTTCATAAGGCACCCCTTCCTGCACAGTTTGGCCGAAACTGGGAGGTCGGGGCGCTGACATGCCTGTCACAAGCGCTCGGGCCATCTTCTTTGGATAGTCCTCGGCCCAAGAGGTTACGGACCTACCCATGAAACTACCCGCTAGCTGATCATGCGATCCCCGGCATTTACACCGATACTGCTGCATATGACCAGCCAACTCCCTTCTGGTAGTGAAGATGGTTGTGCTCTTGCGGACTGGCACACCTGTGCGGGGATGCCTGAGCCCCAAAGCGCACTGATGGAACGAAGCATAGAAATGACGGCACTTAAGTTTCTGAAATCGCCTGTCATCCCACGCTAAGGAACCCTTCGGATTCTCAGCACTACAATGTCTTCCATTGGCGCTCTGACACTCAAGCACTTCAAAGAGCATATCCCAATTGGATCGGGAAGCCAATATTTCTCGCAAGATCTTCTGTCTAGCGCCTAAAGACCTCTGCTCGTTCAGCCCACTCCATCGACAGTAGGACCGACAGGGAAATGCTATGAAAACATCTCTTGGCCGTACTAGACTCACAAGTGATCTTACGTACCAACGGGCTTCCTCTCCTTGGAGTTCCTGTCCCCACGCACGGCCTAGACGAATGGCAGTTCCACCGGCTGACTCAAACTCCTCGCTGAGCCTAGCTCTACCGGCAAACACTTCAATCAGGCCTACCTCAACCCCACGATCTAGCTTCCACGCCTGTGGACCCAGCCATTCTCTCAGCTGAGCACGGGTTGCTTTCTGATCAAGGTTGAGGTTTGTGGCTTTCCATGCCTGGGGTAGTTCGAGTCTAGGCTGTGGCTCTAACTCGCCTACGGGTACTTCCGGGGAAACTCTAGGCCAGTCACTAGTCACAACCTCGTCAACAGAAACCTCTACTTTCACAGACGGCAACACCTCAGGCAAGACTTGCGCTGTCAACGCAGCCGCAACACCTCCCAGGTATCGCCAGCATCGGGATCTCCCATAGGGGAAGGGCCGGCTTCTGGCCACTGAGGGCTGGCCACGGCCTTCGGCATTCCCTGGCTGCCCTGGCTTGGAGCTGACTGTGTCACCCCCGTGAAGAAATGATGCGCTGGCAGGCCGATCTGTTGCCTCAGGTACGCTGCTCGCGTCATCAGCTCCGCAGCCTGCTCTTCCAGCTCCTTGATGTGGGAGACAATGGACTTCTCGTCCTCCATCTTTACGTCCGGTTTCTGTGGCGTGGCGGCATACTCTGTGGCCAGCATCTCCCTGACGGCCGACATGATGCTCTCCATCTGGGGCGGTGTGCTTGAGGATGCTGGCACCACTGACGGCGATGCCCTGGGATGACTGAACGGCGCTGTTGCTGCAGGGAGTGGAGCCCTGGGATAGCCGGCAGGCGGGCCTGTCGAGGCTTGTCCAGTCAAGACTCCACTCGTCTTCAAGCTCTTGACTTCCTGCTGCACTGGCGCCTGGTTCTGAGTCGCTATCTCCAGAGCATATTCGGAAGCTCTCTGGTCCTTCTCTCGTAGGGCCTTCAATTTCTCTGAGTGCAACGCAATCTTCCGGACATTGAATGGATATGTGACGGTGCCCTTCTTGTCCAAAGCCTCGGGAGCGCCTTCTGACTCCACCAAATCTCCGTCGGCGAGGACGGTAAAGGTCGATGGTCCAGGAATGGGCGTCACGGCACAGTCCTTGCGGTACGCATATTGAATCTCTCCGGTGGCCCTCACAACTCGAGCCAGTCTTCCCTTGCAATCCCTGCACTTCGTGCGGCAGTGACTGCAATGGTACGTGTTCCCTGACGCATTGCCGTACGACTCGATCATGTGAGGGCTGCAGTGAGCATACTGCGGCGGTTGAAGGCCGTCTGGTTTGAGAAGGCACGCGCAGAGCTTCGTCTGACTCATCACAGCTGACAAAGGACTCAGAGTCCGCTAACTCACTACAATGCTGGGGCTTGGGATTGCGCTCAACATCAGCTGTTCCTGCGTGCAAATCTTCAAGTGAACATGCTGCAACAAAAGCTTCAGCAGTAACTTGCGACACAGAAACAGAGGATGGTTCGCATTCTACTTTTGACTTCGGTACTGGAGAATCCTTGGCAGGTGGAATTGCATAAACAAAAAGAAACTTCGAAGACGCATCACCAGTTGGAGGCAATGATCTCCCTGCACAACGCTCACACTCTGTCCAGTCAATGAGCACCTTCAGGCACCGATCTACAAGAGACATGACCAGGACCCAAGCACCCTGTAGGTGCGATGGGGGCTTTCGAAAAATTTTGGCTCGGTACCCGATCTGTGCTGCTTTCACCTGCCAAGGCTTCCGATCTGCACTAAACGCATGTTTACCCATGATGAGGTACAACGTGGGAGTTTCTTTCGGGATATCTACCCAGGGCCCCTTAGTCTCCTTGGCTAAACGAACAAGGGCTCCTATGGCATACCCGTCTGATCGACCCTTAATGGCGTTGTATCTGGGAACATGCTGGACTTCGGATTCAGCGATGTCTGGGCTTTGGTCCGGATCAAGAGCTGTGGCTGTTTCCCCTAGTCCCCCCGCTACATCTAACCCTGGAGGACCATTTACGACAACCGATTCAGGCCTGGTAACAGCTTCGTCTACGATCAGCTCGCTGTCCGGACCAAATCCCGCCTCGGCTGAGGCGAAGGCGTGTCCAGAGGAAAAGTCGAGGAGGGGCAGGAGGTAATGGCCTACGGCATTGGTCTCCAGTGGCACCTTCCCTATGCCAGGTACTTCAAGTACATCGTTTGCACAGTCTAGCTTAGCTTGCATGGCCCGCAAGGCCTGGATAGAAAGGAGGAAGGGGGCCTTCCCTGGAATGACCGCAGCCTGAATGAAACCATCCCTCGGGCCGATTTTCACAGGATACTTTACCCGATAGGTGGCTTTGGTTTCGCCATTGATGCCCTCAAACTTTATGTCTGAATCACCCTGCTCCGGCTTTAAGGCTCCACCTGTTTGCTTCTTAAGCTCTTCACTCCACAAACGCTCATTCTCATCCCCAACTAAAGTGGAAGTGCAACCTGTGTCGAGAATGGCATATCCAGGTGGAGTTACCAGACAGCATGACTCAGAACCTTCCGGACACTTTGGCTCAAGACCCAGAAGCCGATCCAAAGTCAAACATTCTTCTACAAAATGCTCGAGTTGGCTGATGGACTGCCGAGACACAAAGGAGAACTCCGGAGTGGTTCTCGGTTTGGAACTCAAAGAAGACGGCGTCGATCGCTCTGCGTGGTAGGCCACATAGCTGAACTCAGGGACAAAGCGAAATTCCTGGCGAGGCTCAGTGATGGCCATGCCGAGGTACTGCGATCCTGGTGGCTCACCCCGCCTCGCATGGCCAGAAGAGCGACTGCTCTTCCCCTTTGACTTGCCCTTGCCAGCGCCCTTGCTCCTTCGGGTAGGCGGCGGTGTTCGCGGCCGTCGAGTCGCCGAGGGCCGCTGGCTGGAACGAGGCTGTTCTCTGTCCTTCCAGCTGAAATCCTGCCTTCGCGCTGGCGTTGATGGCCGGCCACGGTCCCGATCTCGGTGTTCTCGTCGGTCTCGATGCTCACGCCGATCTCTGTCGCCGCCACTTTGGCCGCCCTTGGGGTGTGCGGCCCCTTCTCCGGGCTCTTTGAACCCCCTCGCCTTCTTCAAGCTCAAAAGCTTCTTGCGGGCCTCAAGGTAGCCCATCATCGCCACACTGTACTCTTCACCGTCGCCCTCCTCTTCTTCAAGGGTCTCCTCGGTAAACTCCGACTCCTCGCCTTCAGCATACGCACCAAACTCCTCCTCGGGCTCGTATTCGTCGTCGACTTCAAAGGGCGACTCCTCATAGGGATCATCCTCCTCAGGCACATCCGCAAAGAAGCCGTGGCTGGTTACCTGCGAACGGCTAGCAACCAAGGCATCCAGCTCGGTACGCCTAAGCAGGTCTGCAACCTTGTCATAGCGCAGGGAGCCACCGCTTGACCTAAGCAACGATGCTCTGGTTTGAAGTGAAATGCCAATGTGCCTGAGGAATATGAAGCCCTTGACCACCTCGGGGAATCTGAAAGTCTGGACTTGGGGAAGTTCTCGGGGCGGAGTAGGTGCTAACGGTTCGGCTGGGGCCTCTGCTCCTTCCGGCAAAGCTGCGACCGTGGCTTGATGTTGCTGTTGAGCGACGATGAAATCCAGGCTGGCCCTACGGAACTCGGACCTCATCAAGTCACCCTGTCGGCGTCTCTCAACTCGCTGTTCTTCCGTGATCAGTTCTTCTACCTTTGCTAGGGCAGTCTCGAATCTGGTCACGAAGGAAGTGGACTCTTCGCCACGGCGGCGGCGCAACCGAAATAGCAAATCTTCAAGTTTATCTGAAAGCTCCTGCTCAGGAGTGAACTGGAAGCGCTCGTCGAGTATCGCCAGAAGCTGGGCCACACCACGATCTGTTCTGAACTCCGCCGGGTCCCGTTCCCGGAAGCACTCGAAGGCTGCCCCGCTGAGGCTCGAGATTAACCGTGGTGCCGCCAGATTCTGTTTGGAGTCTTCTAGACTATTGAAGTAAAGGAGGGCTCTCTTCCTGTAGTCTCTGTACTCGTCTAGCTTGCCGCTGAACTGTGGAACGCCGCGTTTGTCATCGTCCTTGTTGATGTCCATGGTCGCGTAGTCGAAACTCTCGTCGTGCTGTGTGCCGCCCTGGATCGAAGGCTCAAGCAAAGCATCCTCAGAGCTCCGCTGCCATGTTGAATGGCAGACAGCACTACCCAAGATATCAGCTATCCTGAGTAAAAGGTAAGTGCCAAGAAGCCGCACCAGCTGAAAGGATATCTCCAAAGTGGGATAAAGTAAGGGAAGGTCAATTACATCCATGTCTGTTGTCAAGCATATGTCAGAGGACATGTTTTCCGTTCACCTCAGCAAGCTACGCGGTGCACCTTGAGCCACCACAGGTGGCATAGCGAGTTCACTGCTCTGTGCTCCCATCTCCTAAGAGATCAGGAGCCTAAGCTCTTCAACAGGTCTAGTGATGGTTGGCCCATGTCTCAGGACTTGCAGCACCAATGTGCTCAGATGAAAATCCAATCGGACTCCACGGCTCGAGCAGGAAAGTCAGCCGCAGGTTGTGTGCCCTAAGGTTGCGGTTAACGGACGAAGTCTGGCCTAGTGCTTGCACAAGGCATTGCTGAAGGAGTCGGAGAGCGACTTGCAGAGTCTCACACGTTATCACAGGCTACTCTCATACGCTACTCTCGTCCCTCGGAATCCTGGATGTGGAGGTCGCGCTGCTCCAAATCACGGGCGCCGCCTGGGCATGAAACTTTCGAGGCACGCTACCGTTACGAAGCATACGATGGGCTTCTAGATGCTTCTAGAGGGCTGGGAGTGGGGTGGGAGCAGCAGTGCTTGGTTCATACTGGTGTCGCAGCGGGAAGTTGACGGTGTGCAAAGCGACCTGTTAATGGTAAGGGTCTGTGTTCGATGGCTCAGGCTTTCGATCACTTGTGGCCATCAAGCGGGTTGAGTGTGGAGCCAGGCTTGCTTGCTGTCATGCTGGAAGCACCACGATGAGCAACAAGGCACAGGTCAGGATGCTTCGGCTTCGGCATCTACCCGGGAGAAGAATCTGAAAGGGATTCTCCCGCCCACACCTGTCCATGCGGAATAATCAAACGCCTGTCAGCTAACCCCCCCTTTCAGCTAACCCCCCCTTTCACGTCCAAACAAGTCAATACCTTTAATACCTTTTATACCTTTTCAGCGCTCGCCGAAACCTCGCTTCAGGCCGCAAACAATCCATTCAGGCCCCAACGCAGCCGTTGCTCCTCCAAGCAGCCTCTCACCTCAAACAGCAGTTACTGCAGCTACTGGGAGCAAGCGAGGCGGGGTCGTAACCACGTTTAATATGAACACACAACCACCAAAATGGATCACGCACCTCAGGGCGGATTCCCCCCCACCCACCCACCCCCCGGACGGTTGCCAACGTTGAGGTGTTCTTGCTGTGCTTTTTCGCCGGCCAACAACCCCTCAACGTTGCCTGTCAAGGGGGAGGGAGGGATGGGGGATACACTGTTGAGGTGTGTAGTTTACCAGCACGAACACGCCTTAACGCCCGCACCAGGGGGTGGGGGGTCCAGAGCTGGAACCCGCAACGCAGGAGAGGCCCCCAAACTCCTTTCCCAAAACAAGCTCCTGAACCTCCCAACCTCCGATCTAACATGATCGGATCAAGTGTTATTGTTCCAAGCAATGCGCCGCGTTCTCAGGCTGCAGCCCGGAGTGGACACGTCGCGAATCCCGAAACAAACGAAACAAAAAAGTCCGGAATGTCAAGTCCTGGCCCTGTGTGTGCCGTGCGCAGCGGCCTCCGTCAAGTGCTGCTCGAGCAGCTTGCACCTCCGCTGTGGGACCGGCTCCGTGTTGGATATTTCGGGCGGTGTATGGCGTGGACCCCGATGAGGCAACGGTGCCAAAAAGAACATAGTGAGTCTTTGCGGTGCCCAGGCGCTCGGTCTCCTTGGCGTCCAGGCGCCTCTCCAACTCCTTCAGGCGCCTGTGTGCGGACGGAAGTATATGCAAACATGTTAAGAAGGCATGTGCAAGGGTGTTCAATGGTGACGAGGCGTGGGGATGCAGTGCAGAAATTATGATTCCAGATTCGGCAAGAACATACCTGACGGGACCTACCGGCTCCCGAGTCCAACTCGCTAGGAGTGCTTCCTGAGGCCCCGACTCCTCTAGCGCCGACGTCCGCGCCGCCAGAGGCGACGACACCTGTGTTGGCTGACAGACTATTCAAGCGCGCAACACGAGGGAAGGCAAGCGCCACATCTCTCCATCCTCCTCTTCTCGACCCAAAGCAGACGTCGACACCGTGCGCAACGCTCAATGGCAGACGTCTCCAAGGCTCGGTCCAAGAATGGGCGGAGCATTAAACTTACATGAGGTGCAAGTTCGGGTTCGACCCTTACGAAACCTCGTGGCCAAGGAAGGAACAGGAATTGTGGAACTCATGCTGCTTGTTCCAGTACACTCTACAGTACACTCTAGACTGAGGAACGCTTGCCTTGGAGATTGCAAAAAGAATCAGGATCCCGCCGTGAAGCCAATCCCAAGCGACCACGTACCGTCACACAGCCCTGAAGCCCGCTCACAAAGCCCTAAGAACTGCCAGGAAGCCAAGTTGCTCTGGTTGAAATCACCTTCACATCCGGACATCAGAACTGAACTCTCAAAATGCTAAAGCCTCTTCGAGCTCTTGGTATGAGGTTGGAAAGAGGATGTGTGTAAGGTCCAATCATAAGTGAACCCTCTCGACAAATAACATTGTGACGTCTTGGCCGAAAGGCCCCAATCCGAGGCTTGCTGAAAGCGAAGCTGCGGGCTCAATGCCCATGTGCCAGGACTCTTATCTTGGACTGCAGCTACCCATGAAACCCTTGACAGCAGACTGCACCAACCCAAAAAACGGCGAAGCGTACCCGAAACTGTCTCGTACTGTATCGTACTTTTTCTTCCCTGTGCCCCACATACACCCCAAAGCCACCGCAAAGTGCACCGAGCTCGGCACCCGCGGTGAGGGAGGCCGGGGGCTGTCCAAGACCACCTCTGCTCTCTCTACAGCTGTCAAGCCACGTGTCAAGCACATGCGCAAGTTCTCCTGTGCAGTAAACCCACGCGTGAGCGTCCCACTGGGTCTGTGCCAAACTTCCTAGGCAAGTACTCGCCTCAGGGCATCGCAATGGAATCCCAAACCTTCAACAGCTGACTCGGTCTTCCACGCTTCGACAAACCCACAAGCAATCGCAACCTCGAACCGGCAAATCAAAATCTGATTTCGCAGACAGCTCATGTGCAGGTGATTCTTTTTTCAGTGGAACGCATTCATGAACAACTTAAGGACAAGCCTGCGGACGATGCTCCCAACATTTACCCCTGCCAAACTTGCAAAGGCGCCATGGCCCTGTTGGATGCTGAGCGAGCCACCCTGGTGCAAACCACCTGAGGCACACGGCGACGTACAGGTCAATGGCACAAAACTCGCCATGTCGAGAGCGGCTCTGAAGCTGCGCAAAAGCAACGTGTCAATGGGCTTGGATGAAATGAGCCTCAGAAATCCTCGCATCCTGTGTGACTTAGGTGCAGCATTCTGCAAGAAGCCACATGAAGCCCAGACTAAGTCCAGGCTTTGTCACTGAGTGGCTTAATATGACACGCCTCAGTGCACACGATCTGAGCGCTGCACCCGAGGTGAAGGAGGCCGTGGGCTGTCTAAAACCACCTTTGCTCTCTTTCGGAGTGTTTGAAAGTACCAGGGCCGCACAATGGGGGCAAAATACTGCCAATGGCTGTGCAGGCCAAGCCTGTCAGCCAGCTCGTTACCACAACCCTTCCAATCCACCTTGCAGATGCCATCATACCACCCAGTCATACCCTTGCAATCGAACTGCTGAGCCAACCACCCTCGTCCGGACCACCTGCAGCAGCCATGTACGGGGTTCAAATCAATTCCGGCAGAGGCTCTGCGACTCACAGCAGCATTCTGTGCCACACGCAAAGGAATCCTGGAATGGATCACACTGCACCAAACGGACACTTCGCACAGCATGCGTCACAGCAGACAATCCACATAAAACAGCCGTTGAGCTGCAGCTGGCAACTGGCCAACGGAAACTCTATGAAACTGAATCAAGTTCGAGCTCCCTGGGCAGTATACGCGCAAAACCTGGGCAACCTGACCAAAACAAGAAGAATCAAGACGAAACCCCACTGAGTTGGGCACCCGCGGCGACGGAACGCGGGGGCTATCCGGGGGCGCCTGCACAGAGTACACACAGTACAGTAATCACAGTACAGGCTCTTCGAGGTCTCTCTGCGACGCCAATCAGGCTGAGCGAGGCTTTGCAGTCGAGGTTGTAGGTTGTCGGGAGCTAGGTTGCGGGCCTGCAAAGAAGCGGACTGAACTTCATGGACTACGGCTGAGAATCCAGACGCCGTCCTTTTGCCTCACACCCGCAGCTGCCAAGAATCACACCGAAAACGCTGCACTGAAGGCTGCTGCTTCAGCCATGCCAGTGCGTGAGCCCCTCGCTGTCTCTTCGAAGGCACGTCTGCTTTGCAAGCTTCTTCTTAGTCTTTAGACTCCCGATACCCAGTAGCAATCAGAAGAGGCAGCCGCATCACGAAATCATGAAGTATCCTAGTCCTAGTCTCGGCTCTCAACTCTCGGCGCCAGGAGTGAGGAAGGGCTTGTGGCTGAGGATTCTTCAAGGCGACGATGGCGTTGAGCTCAGGGCTCCAGCCGCCGAGTTACGTGCAGCACCCGTGCTGCTGCTGTACAAATAATCCTTATCTGCCAATGCCCGCTGGATGTTCGACTCCACCGCGGCATGGAAAAAGCATGGGATGCTTGACTCCAAGGCAACTCTGCTCGGGCTGCTGTTAGGCCAGCTTTTTTGCTTCTTGAAGCCAGGGCAGCCTTTTGGCTTTTTTAAACTCTCTAAGAGAGGCACCTCACACCTTTGCTTCCACCCCTGGCCACAACAGCAACGTCAGGTAGGCTCGGCAGAGGCCCAGGACGGGCTCAGAGCAAACGTCCCCCCCCCCCCCCACACACTCTGTGACAACATCGATTACTACGGCAAGTTTCTGCAACTACTACTGCACCTGCGCAAACTCGAAACTGCCTGCACTGATCCTGACTACACAAAGCAACAATACCAAACCAGACAAATATTCAGCCTCGTATGCCTCGTGTCCATGGGCCTCCCACTACTGCAGGTCATCGTGCAAGACTTGTCGGAGACTCATGACAAGACAGGTCTTCAACTCAGGCCGCCTGAAAATCCTAACCGCCGATCTAACCGTCTAACCTAAGCCTAGATGAATTGTGTCAACTCGTCTCCAGTGCCCGCGTATGGCACGTGATCAACACACTCCATTCGAATGAATTCCGCGACCGCCCGTGTCGGGCTCTTCTGCCAGAGCTTTGGCCTGTAGAGTTCACGAGTTGGGGCTGTAGCAGTCAGAGTGCACACAGTGAAGATGTCAAGCTCAGCAGGCAGAGACTTGTTGGGAGGCTCTAAAACCAAGCCATGGCAGACCTCTCTGCTGTAGCATCAATAGTAGAATGGGCCCATGACTCTACTCATTTCACGCTTCAACACATCTGCCAAGGCAGCGGCAAGACGGTGAGCACCTGCACAGAATGGCACACTCGTGTGCTCAGCATGACCGTGCAGCTGGACACAGGGTGGTCCGAAAGCGCTTCAATCAGCGCAAGTCCAACATGAGCAGTGCCATCACATCACCATGTTCGTCATCGCCATCATCACCATCACAGCAGCCTAGATACCTACTATCGACCACAAGTTCGAGGATGGCGAATGTGCTGCGCCCAGCGCGAGGCCGACAAGTTCGAGGCAACTCCGACACGCTAGGAGCACGGAGAGGCGAAACGCTAAAATTTAAACCGTCTGAGATGTTGTGCACAGCATCTGCCACATACGGCCAGCTGCACTTCCATGACTCATGCCATGTCAACTGACGAGACAAGATCCGACCACACTACAGCTGCCCTAAACTCACGTCCTGTGATTCGAAGGCAAAACGATCAGTTCTGGCAGCGGCACCAGCAGCACCAGAGCAGCACCAGAAGCAGCACCAGCAGCAGCACCACCAGCAGCAGCATCAGCACCATCAGCACCAGCAAACTTTCCAATGACTTCCTGCCTGGCGTGGCACAGGTCTTCCGCCGCAGCCGCCGTTGGGGCACCCAGCTCGGAACATTCTCGAAGCCTTCTTCCTCCAAGGCTCTCAAGCGGGGAGTGAGGACCGGTCGTAAAACCGCTCGTTGTTGCGCTTCGAAGGAACAACATTCTCTAATACTCTTTGGGCACCACGCTGACAATTTTCCGAACACGTTGCACGTTAGGATCTTTGAAACTTGGGCTCAATGATGGTAAACACGATCTCAGATCCCGAGCCCAGTGGTAGAATTTTGAAAGGATTAGGCGGGCTCAGGAATCCAACAACCGAATCACATGGGAGGGAAAGGAAGGGAATCGCCTGAAAAGCGGGCGAGGCTGGGAAGGGCAAGGACAGAGAGAAAAGAGGTGTTGGGGCACGAGGCAAGAGCTACGTCGGGAAGCTTTTCGCGTGCGAAAGGGAATACCTCAGTCACCTACCGAGGGCAAGATAGGACTTTGCCTACGTGCCTTGCTGTGTCTGAAGGGCACCATGGGCACCTGCGTGAACTGATTTTGAGAGGTGAAGAAGAAGATCCAACATCTCTAGCGTTTCAATGTTCCTCTGTTCTCATGTTCATGTCATAGTACCCTCTCGAGCTTGCCTTGCTCAAGAAGAAAGAACACATGGGTCAGCAACTGTCAGAAGCGTTGCAGCAGACCATGGACCTTCACGGACTTTGGGACGCCCAGCACGTCAGCCAGGAAAGAGCAGTGATCCTGAGAAAGACGCGACGCCGACACCTGTTTGACAAGCCCCGTCCCCTACAGCCGAGGACTCCACCTTGTCCAAAGAATCTTTTAAGAACCTGTCGAAATGGCTTGTTTACATCTCCAGGCTGCCGAGATTCAGAAGGTATCCAGTCCTCAGTGCACCCACAGATTGTGGTCTTCAACTGGTGGGTTCTCAGCTTGATACGCGTTGGCCCGAAGGTCGGCATCCCCTGGACGAGAACGAAGTCACGAAAGCACTGGACAGCACTGGAAAGCATTCGAGCAGGCATGCATGCCAGAACCCCGCCCAATGCTTCGCAGCTTCGCAACAGCACTTGAGGATCCAAGTGGCTCTCTGAAAACTGACAAGCTGGCGATGCTGCCAGGCAACGATTTTGGTGTCATCCGGAAGTCTGGTCCAGGAGCTTGCCACCTGGAACAGATAGAAGCTTTTGTTGGGTTGGATCGAGGACAGCAAAACAAAACGGCTGAAGGCCAGAAGCCTGGAATGCTTGAACCTTAAGGCCCTAAGGCTGTGACTCCGGGCCAGGTGATTCCTCTCGGAGAAACCGAAACTCAACATGCGACTCCCGGGTCCCCCTCACCCCATCCTGTGCCACCTGCACCACGACAGCTAGTGCCCGTTTGCTCCACGTGCTCGCAGTGTCCCCTCGTGCTTGTTGGGCTTCAAGCAGGCGAGACCCTCACGGCCAAAACTGGGTTTGGTCAAGGTCTCGTCCGCGTCTACTGGTTTTGGGCGCCACACTGTTGGTGGCAGTCAGCGTCTCGTCATGTCTCGTCCGCTTCTACTGTTTTTGGCCGTCACGGTCTCGTCCGCTTGTCCTGATTTTGGCCGTCACGGTCTCGTCCGTTTCTATTGCTTTTGGCCGTCACGGTCTCGTCCGCTTCTACTGTTTTTGGCCGTCACGGTCTCGTCCGCTTCTACTGTTTTTGTCCGTCACAGTCTCGTCCGCTTCTACTGTGTTTGTGCTTTTGGCCGTCACGGTCTCGTCCGCTTCTACTGTTTTTGTCCGTCACAGTCTCGTCCGCTTCTACTGTTTTTGTGCTTTTGGCCGTCACGATCTCGTCCGCTTCTACTGTTTTGGGCCGTCACGGTCTCGTCCGCTTCTTCTGTTTTTGGCCGTCACGGTCTCGTCCGCTTCTACTGTTTTTGGCCGCCACGGTCTCATCCGCTTCTATTGTTTTTGGCCGTCACCGTCTCGTCCGCTTCTACTGTTTTTGGCCGTCACAGTCTCGTCCGCTTCTACTGTTTTTGGCCGTCACGGTCTCGTCCGCTTCTACTGTTTTTGGCCGTCACGGTCTCGTCCGCTTCTCCTGATGTTGGCCGTCACGGTCTCGTCCGCTTCTATTGCTTTTGGCCGTCACGGTCTACTGTTTTTGGCCGTCACAGTCTCGTCCGCTTCTATTGCTTTTGGCCGTCACGGTCTCGTCCGCTTCTACTGCGTTTGGCCGTCACGGTCTCGCTGCTTCTATTGCTTTTGGCATGCTTTTGGCCGTCACGATCTCGTCCGCTTCAAACAGTAGAAGCGGACGAGACTGTCACGGCCAAAAACAGTAGAAGCGGACGAGACGCTGACGGCCAAAAACAGTAGAAGCCGACAAGACGCTGACGGCCATAGACAGTAGAAGCGGACGAGACTCTGACGGCCACAAACAGTAGAAGCGGACGAGAACGTGACGGCCAAAAGCAGTAGAAGCGGACGAGACCGTGACGGCCAAAAACAGTAGAAGCGGACGAGACGCTGACGGCCAAAAGCACAAAAACAGTAGAAGCGGACAACACCGAAACGGCCAAAAACAGTAGAAGCGGACGAGACCGTGACGGCCAAGAACAATAGAAGCGGACAAGAACGTGACGGCCAAACACAATAGAAGCGGACGAGACCGTGACGGCCAAAAGCAGTAGAAGCGGACGAGACCGTGACGGCCAAAAGCAATAGAAGCGGACGAGACCGTGACTTCCAAAAGCAGTAGAAGCGGAGGAGACCCTGACCGCCAAAAACAGAAGAAGCGGACGAGACCGTGACGGCCAAAAGCAGTAGAAGCGGAGGAGACTGTGACGGCCAAAAACAGTAGAAGCGGACGAGACCGTGACGGCCAAAAGCAGCAGACGCGGACGAGACCATGACGGCCAAAAGCAGACAAATTAGGGTGGCACACGCGAATGGAAGGAAGCTGGCACCTGCAAACATCGTCTCAGAGATTCCCATATCACTGCACAGACAGAACAGCAAAGCCAGTGTCTCGCGATACTTCCCACCCCCACCCCTGCTCGTAACATCCCAACGACGAAGCGTGCTTCATCAATTGACTCAGAACCTCAACAACTCTTCACAGTACTCCTCACAACACCTGCTTACATTCCACATGCTGCTCCCCCTTCCCTCATGCCCCACACATCCCACCTCAGCCAGCAGGCCGGGCCTGCAAATCTTATGACGAGTGTGTCTGAGCACAAAGCAACCCACCGAGCTGCCCTGTCAGGACCACAAGTTCCAATCCTCGTCATCAGCAAAGCACCCCAAGGATAGAAACAAATAACGGAGCAGTTCCATGATTCTATAGTAAATGATGGTCCCTTCTCGGGCACCTTTTTGATAGCCTATTTGAGGGCTCCGAATCAGAACAAAAGGGACCCCCATCATGCAGGAAGAAGCTGCCGTCTGAGTAGTGACTCGCCTGTGCCGAAGATCGGCAAAGACCTCCGCAGCGCTGCGAGCACGAGCCTCCGAAGGTGAATTGACTGAACCCTGGGCGTGCTTCGAAAAGCAAGTTCTTGCGTCTCTGAAAAAGTCATCTGAAATCGTATAAACCCACCGCCCCCCCAATACGCCAACCGTGCTCTCCATGCAGGTCACCAAATCCTGTGCTTCACTCGAAGATTTGCCATCGAAGATTTGCCGGCCATCGGCCCATGTTTGCGTAAAGGAACGCTCACCATTTCAATACCTTTCAATAAGACTAACATCCTGCCACCCTGGTCACCGGCTCCTGCGAAATGAGCCACGCAAGGAAGGCAGCCAGCTCCATGCAAGCAACCTCGTAGGCCTTGGATGGCAATGCACTATCCTGATCTAGGGCTCTCCTGCAAATCCGATTGCCCGAAACCCTGAGCATAAGCATGCATGCGTAAGCCACGCGATGAGCAGAACTGAATCGCCCTGGCAAGCCCCCAAGCCATAAGCAGCAAACACCTTCCGCACGTTCTAAAAGAGGCAGGCCGCATCCTGAGGATCACCGTCCCATTCAGCTTGGGTGCAGCTCGGACCACTTCCTGGGATCGACGTTGGGACATCTTGGCTGGTGCTCGAGGACACGGGTTTAGTTCAGGGTGGGGGGGGGTCAGAGGGTTTGGAGTTTGGGGTTCTTGTAGTCCGCTTTTGAAAATGTGCTTCTGTAGTTCTCATCTGTTAACGATCTTTATGTAGAATGGGTGCATTGCTTTGGCCAAGTGCGTGCATCTGATCATGTACAAGACTTGCATCCCTGCAGAGCCGTGTCAGATGCAGAGAATCCGTGCGTAATAGAGCTTAACTTTCTCCGAGATTGCTCGCAAGCCGAAAAACAAACAACAAACACCGGACGCAACTCAAAGGAAAAACACAAATTGCAAAGCCGAGCCTCCAGAAGCCATGAGCCACGGCCGGGGCATCGAGGGAGGCAGGGCCAAGTCCAGCTGCGATACCTCTGGCTCTGAAGAGCACCCAGGCTTGCAATGCGCGCGCTTCCTTCCCAGAGGCCTGCAGTCGGTTGAACCTTCGAGAAAAGTACCTCTGAATTCCAGGTGTGGTCGACAAGTACAGTTGCCGGGCCTGGGCTTGAGGTTGCGTTCACAGGAGTCGCTTGGGATGTTGCGTTGGGCTTGGTTTAGCCGTCAAGGCTGCAGAGATGTCGCATATTTCAGTAAGCATCCCTGCTGACTCCAAGAAGTCCCCGCATTTACGCTCCAGGCACCCTCCAAACACATCGCACAAGAGACGCGCAGCAGATGCGGACACCTCTACCCAAGCCCGCAACCCTCATGGAACCAATTAGAAGCCAGGGGGCATTGACTCGGCTCCAGAGAGTTCGCACCATGGCTCAATCCGGAGTGTATCTCTCGAAAAGCATTCGAGTTGTAGAGTCTAAGTGCGGATTCCATCCATATTCTGAGACACCCTACCATGCTCCTGGTCCATGATGGGCTTCTACAATCATCTTCTATCATTCGCTGCCTATGCATGACATTGCTGGCACAAGAGCTTCAGGTGTGCGCATTTCTCTGCGCAACAAGTGCTCCAAGGACTGCCCTGAGAACTCGGAAACGCCCCCCAGTACTGGAAGCGCGCTGAAGGCCTCTTGTCGGACACGCGGTGCCGGGCTCCGACTAACGGAGACAAGCTTGGCCTGAGAGGCACGTGGTGGGCTGAAGGTTCAGGGGTGCCTACTGGTACATGAGGATTTCGATCGGACAGCCGTGCCTGCCCTTTAAAGCAGCCGTATTTCAGGTGTTGAACTCACTGAGGGACACAGAACAAATAGCTGTCCAGTGACACTTGCTACATTGGTGTGCTATTCAGCCAATATCAGCACTGTAAAATATGCCTTTCTGGGGCGGCGCTCTGCTTTCGAGGACGAGCTGCTCTAAGGCACTTTGCTGAGCCCCCTGGAAACCAGGTCCTTTTCTCCCCCTCTGGAGCCTGATGGAGCTTGTCAATCGCGTCCCGAAGCAAAGTGAAAGCAAAAGCGCCCCGTCAGCGCGTCATGCATGCTCTACTCTTTCTCTACCGTGCTATTCAACACGCTTTTGGCCAAGACTGAGCCGAGCACCGGGAGAATGACCGGCGATCTTGATGTTCTTGGCGTGGACCTTCCAAGGCTCATTCCAAATTCAACCGCCGCATCGTCGTCTCAAGCCCAAGTTAAGAATCGGCTGCTCTTGTAAGACTCCCCTTTCCTGATTGCCAATATCTGTCTACTGAAGTCAGACAGGCGGTGCAAGATAAAAAGAATTGGGGCAGCCTGCTTCCCAACGCGCCGACGGTCACCGCGCATGGTGCGCATGGTGGAGCTGCGCAGGCCAGGAAGGCTCGGCTTCGACGATATGCGACGTGCTCTTTGTTGGGACTGCAATCACCATGTCTCTGGAGGCTCTACTTTATATCAATATGCGACGTGCTCTTTGTTGGGACTGCAATCACCATGTCTCTGGAGGCTCTACTTTATATCAACGTTTCCTGCATCCTGCATCGAAGGAAATCCCATGACATGGCTCTTACAGTGAGGTTGTCCGTGGCATGCGGACTGCGCACCCACCTGGAGTAGCAGCAGCCTGCACAGGCTGCGATACCTTCGAGCAGATTCGAGCAGTCTTGGAGACGCTTCTGTGAAACTAATTTGTCAGGCTCTGGCTTGCCTCGGCCCCTGCAGAGGTCATTGGGTCCCCACATCCTCGTCACTTTCAGGAACGCCGGCCATTCCCCCTCGAAATCGAAATCCCTTGGAGACCTTACGACAGCCGACCGCTACCCCTGAACTCTGGACTCCCACCCCGAACTCCCCTTAGTTTCGAAGCCCCCGGAATACAAACGAACACAAACGAATACAGACCTTCAAAGAGCTTTGATGTTTCGGAATTCCGATTTGACCAAGTCAAATTCGAACTGGTCGCCGCCCACTGCAATCCCGAGGCAAGCCTGGCGCACAACAGGCACGCCGAGCACGCCGGGCACGCCGGGAGCCGGGGGCGTAAGGACGGGCCTTTCAAAGTTGCAACATTCCTGGTCCATAGTACACTTGGAATCGCTTGGAGATGGAGTGTGTCACAAGCTCATGAGAAGCGCTGCCGTTGATCCAAACCCCGGTTCAGAATCGATCCTAAGCAATGCGACTTCACCTAGAAAATTCTCAGTATGTCCAGTACGTCGGGAAATCCCGACTCCTGGGTCCAACCTGTAACTACAAGGAATTCTACGATCCTGGACTTTTGGAGCTCTGTCTTGGATGTAGCCAACGGCCAAGGCCTAGTCGGACTTCTGATTCCGAGCCCGGGGCCTTGGTACGAGTGGCACTGCCACAGGAACTGGTACTGGTACAGACCCCGCGCCAGAAACAAAGCGTGGAGTTAGCCTTGGTTCCAGGTGCTCAACTTGTGCAGAGCCACTAGGCCTCTAGGGCTCCGAGACGTGCGTGACCTTGCGCAACCGCAGCACCCCTCCATTCTCACAACTACGACCAATGCGCCAAGCGTCCGGTCAACTAGAGTGGCATGCAATCGCTTCGAGGTTTCGCTCAAGATTCGATTTGTTCAAACATTCGCTATCTGAGGCTTTGAAGGTGTGAGCATTAAAGCATCAGAAAAGCTCCATCTTCCAAGAAACTGAGGTGTGGCGGCCCCGCTACCCGATCCACCTTGGTGTGCATCCGTGACATATGGGGTTCTCAATTCTGAGCCCTCCTTGAGGCCCCAAAAGCAGGGCCTCGAAGGGCTCTTATTTAGATTTAGATCCAACCCCAGCAGACATGAGAAACATAAACCCCCGTGGCTGCATAGAGTCCTCCCAACATAAATGTTCACAGCATTGTCTTGCTAACCTACCTCTGCATCATTCTGACACGGATCAAAGCGCAGATGCTTGGAGCCGAAACTGGCGAGCTTCCAACTCAGACTGTTGTCAGAAACAAAACGTTTGCCAGCTGGGCATCTGGACAGGGTTCACAAGTTCACAAGCTCAGCTGAGTGCCAGGAGGAAGCGTTGTCGGCTCCAGGCGGACGGGAGGATATACAAGCGTTACCTGCAAGGCTCGAGGAGCGAAGCGGAACTGCTCTTGGAAAACCCGCTGTGCTTCCAACACTTGAAAAGCAAAGTGCAAAACGACAATCATCACCTTCCAGCAAATCAAACCTTGCCGCAGGCAACTAGCTATCCAATCTCGAAGAAGTCCCTGCTGTCCCCGCACGTTGCATGTTCCCAAACCCGCCTTCGTAGGTTGATAGCCTTGCCTGGCTCAACCACCAATCTCAAGACTGTCCGTCTATCACCTTTCACCAAAACCGAAGCTCTTGAATCGACGAATGGATTGCTTCAAGCTCTGGCACCATGATCCGGGTCGTGGCATGCGTGCGGCATGAAAGGCAACATTTGTGATGAGCCCAGGAATGGGAACCCATATTGGGATAAACGCCCATCTCTTGCTTGAATAGAATCAAGGTTTTTGCGCAGTCTATTCAACCACAGCTGCACACGCCAATCATAGCCCCCATCTCAAAGCCTACACTTGCATATATATGCAAAGTCTGCAATGCTGCAACTCTGCCGGTTGTGCAGTGGAGCAGCAGGTCCGTGCAAAGGGGATTGCATGGACAAGTCCTTGCCAACAGATGGTCAGTTGACAAACAACAAAGATGGGTACACGACCCTGGAATGCTGCACTCGACACACGCCATTGCAACAAGCAGCTTTCGATCCTGATGTACTCAGGACAATGCGACAACTGATACAAAAGTAGGCAGTGCCTCGTGGCGTCTCACTCTTTAACCCCAAGCCTCGCTCACTCAGGGTTGCACATTACATGCTAACCCGACAAGATGTCACAACTTGCAACTGGACTCAACCAGGAACACACTGCAGCGGAACGTGTCCCAAAAACACGGTCTTGGCAAGAGGCTTCGTCCTGCCACGCTTCCCACGTTCCAGGTTTGCCAGCCAAGCTGTAAACTCACATGTTTCGGCTGATGCGGTTGAAGTCTCTTTTGCAAGATTGATGCAAGCTTCTGCCGCAAGGCACCGAACATCAAAAAAGTCAGTCTGGCACTCAAGTCTGGAGAAAAGAGTTGTCACACCTTGACGCTGTTGTCATTTTTCTTCTGTGCCGCCTCTCTTTGTGCGCCTTGGAACATGAGCTGCAGCTGTGAGCCGAACCCACGCACCACCGAGTCACATTTGTTCCCCTGTGCGCCTTTTCAGAGAAAGTGCAAGTTCTAACTTGTTTCCGGAAACGGGCCCACTGATCAGCCGAAACACAAGCTGGCCCAGCATACAGCAGGTACCTGAAAGCTTGGGTTTAATGCCCCTGAGTTAAGGCTGAAGCTCTTGCCCTTGGATGTCACAGGTAAGAACACATCAGTCGGAAATTTTGATGCAACAACGCGTCTTTCCATTGAATGATGACTCTTGCATCCGAAAGACTAGCGACCAAATTCCAAGAAAAGGGAGCTGGCAAGCGGCAAGAGCTGCATCATTGTCTTAGAAAGTTCGACAAACACTAAATGCCTTTGGAGCATGAAGCCCAGACACACTATCGAACGATGATTTGTCCAGCGGTATGCTTTGAAAATGATGTAAATGTTTTTGTTGCGATTCTTTTTTTCTGCTCAGCGACCACCGCAAGTTCTTTTTGTCTGGCAAGGACTCTGCTGCACTGGCCCCATTGCAGCTTGAGTCCTGCGAATACCCCGAATAACAACCAGGAACCTGAAGCGGCATGGAGAGTCAACGTAACACATCAACTGAATTGGATTCAAATGAGAATGTGGCTTCGCGAAAGCTTGGTCCATGTCTAGGAGGTTCTCAAGATCAGCCAACTCAGCTTGAGACTCCCGAGCCGATGCTTTGGGCTGCGACTGCTACATCCCACACGGCAGGCTGACAACTGCCCTTTGCGAGGCTGAAAAGTTCGTACACAACTCTTTAGGTCTCCGAATATATCACGACCACATTCTAGAATAGAACTCTTGTCCGTGTCCCTCTCAATTTGAGAAAGATGCTGGACATGCATTTGCCCTGGTTCCTTGCAGCTAATCTTGTTGTTGATGCAACTCTACCCCCCATACAGCCGACTGCGTGGGAATACTCACATGGCTCCTGTACGGTCTTGGAACTGTAGAGGCCTGACTAGGTGTTTCATGTGTACGTGGTTCTCCGTTACCTATACTTCTGGGCGTTTCGATGTCGCAGCTTTCCCCGTGACAAAATAGACGTATCCCATAAGCCTTCTACAAAGTTAGGGTTTGAAGCTCGAGGTTTATGGTTCAGAGTTTACAGGGGCTACGCGGATAGAAAGATCGCCCACGTGCACATGCGTACAGATTAATTCGC